CTTTAGAAAGTAAATAATATATGACTGTGGAGGCATTTAAGATATCTTTTACAAAAAAGGCTCTTGCAATTCTTTCTCCGGCAGGTCATTTCTATTTCTTGAGTACGCAAGATCCGCTGGGATCAGAAACTTTTTATCATTTTTTTGGGTTTGTGACGTTGAGGCTAGTAGGTATGAGAACCTACACGCAAAAATCCCTTTCATAATAGGCACAAAAGTAGATGTTACTTTTCAACGGAACGTTTCAGTACTCTTTTCATACTCGTGCAAGTTTGATCTTTGAAAACTTCATTTAATTATACCAGGCAACGTTAAATGGGTTTTCGGCATAACAAGAAATAATGCCAAGTAATGTATAGTTGATAGTGGTATTTTGTCCTGATTCGGAGGAAAGATAGGTTAACCACAGTGATTTGGACAAAAAGGCATCATTTGGTTTCAGTTTATGTATGAGGTCATTCGCTAAAATGCTGCCGACGCGATTGGGATACATATCGGAAAACGTTCTTTCCATAAATTGTAGTTAAGAAGAAGAAAAAGAAGACGAAGAAGAAGAAGAAGGGGACGATGGTTTCGGTGATGATGATGATGCGATCGCTGGGAAAAAACTTTTATTCGCCTGGCTGTTCGAAATCCGTCGAGCATCCTCGCCAGAGATATTAGCATTAATCGGTACTTCATGCACAAAGAAGTGCAGTATTTATGGGATACAGTCAGTATGATATCGCACATTTATGACAATTACGGACTTTCCTGTCGAGGATAATTGCCCGATTGTGTGCTAGCTGCTTGATAACCGACGTGTGGGTTGTGAACTACTAAACGTTCATCACACATGCTTGAAGTGGACGGCGTTGGATGACGCGTCGATCGGCAACTCCCTGGGCACAAAGTACCCGTTTCTGCTACTCTTTATGCTACTGTCTCTGATGGAAAATCCGCGGGGGATTGCGTGACGTCAAGAGAAGAAGTCTTGTCCTAGCCATCACACCATCTCCTCAAATACTTCATGGCACCCGTATGTTTGCTCGAATTGGAAGACTTGCAATTCCCGCTCCACTGACTAGGAAAGACGGTTCTGTGTCTTGATTCCGTATTCATAGTCACATGCCTGCTTAATATGATTAACTAAATGAAATGATGTTACTACATCTTAATAATATCGTATTCGTTGCAATTAAGCAGGACGGATGTTCTCCACATACTGAAACATGCCCCTCATTATTCAACATGTTAGGGTATAAAATAAAACGCCCGAAACTTCCTGGGATCTCTTTTAAGGTATAATGAATTGGTTCAGACAGTAGTCCTATTTTCATCGACTCTTCCGGCTGAGCTTGACTCACCATTACCTAACTGTAAATAGCCCTTAAAGTGCGACTGTATGTGTCAAAAATATTTGTGACTTATTGTCGCATATTCAACACGAACTTATTCTTCAGCACA